CCTACTAGATTCAGGTGAGTACCCCTGCTGGTCTGAAGCAATAGAACAAAGTTTGAGTCCAGTGGCACCTTTATGACCCAACAAATTCTGGATACAATTCTGGGTATAAGCTTCCATGTGCATGCACACTTCTTCTGATACACTGAAACAAGACTTCCTCAAGCATTACATATAGGTGGGTGGGGGTTAGTTGCCAGGAAGGATTAGTTAGAGTCAAGATGCATAGGTAACTGGCCAATAAGTATAGCTGAGATTGGATTAAAGCAGTGAGTAAGACCTGTGAATAGCAGCAATTTCACATACAAATACAGGAGTTAACAAGCAGAAAGCTTATACCCAGAATTAAACTTTGTTGGTCTTAAGGGTGCCACTGGACTCAAACATTGTTCTATTACTTCAGACCACAAGGCTACTCACCTGAATCTAACTTCCCTTACTAGGCAATAATTGCATGTGGCGCTGTGTAGGAGAAATCTGTCCTTTACTCACAAACCGGGGCAGTGGCTTTGGGAACTGTAATATTCCACTAGTACAACATAATTTGAGGCCAGCAGCACCTTAAAACATCCCCCCCCCCCAGGGTGTAAGCTTTCCTGGATCAAAGTTCTCTCTGTCACATACCAACCAAGCTGCAAATATGTCCAGAACTCATTCCACCAGTAATGTGACTTGGTCAGTGATTTCGTACTTCTGTCTTTTTTTCTTCCTGCTTTGAGAGATTTGTTGCATTTTTGTTATTGCAAACCTGAAAATGAACTTTTAAAAAGGCTCTAGGGTAATTTCCACAAACATGCTTTTTCCCCCATTTGTAACCATTTTTCTAAAGCATAGTATACAGTACTACCTTTGTACTTGTATTACATTTTCTTCTACCATGGGCCTCAGGGGAGTTCCCAGGAGGCCTGTTATCTGGATAATGAGCAGACCCAGCGATGGCCAGTTTCAGCAAGGTTACAGTGGCTGGTACTGTACTCTTGGACCAAATCCTAGTGTTTTGCATAAACATATACAAACATTCAAGATTGCTCAGGGCAGAAATATGCCTGATACTTGTTTTCTTCTTAGTTTACCCCCTAGGCTGGATTAATTTTTTTCCCTCACAGGAAATTACACATTTAACTCCTTATAAAGCTGTTCAGTAAAGCAGCACACCACTGTAACCTCAAATAAACCCTATCCCCTCTACACTGAAAACCTGTCTAAGGGGAAAGGGTTAAGAAGATGCTTTTTGTCACGCCACTCTTCCACTTCAGATTTCAACTACTTTTTAGAGAGCCAGTTTGGTGTAGTGGTTAAGTGCGTGGACTCTAATCTGGGAGAACCAGGTTTGATTCCCCACTCCTCCACTTGCACCTGGCTGGATGACCTTGGGCAAGCCATAGTTCTGATGTTAGGGATGGGTATTGATTGGGAAGTTTTGGGGATTTATCATCAATATTCTATAATGAGAAGTATTAGAGCCTGTGTTTAGAAGCTGGAAAGTAGCACACACTCAGAATGAACTCTGTTATAAAAAAAAGTTCATTTGTAGAAAATAAGCTTACACAGCAGAATGCAAGATATACAGCAGAATGGAGGAGGCAGGATGCCGTCCATCACAAGGTAAACATCTATAGGAACATATTTGTTGATAAGGATAGCAAACCAGGAGATAGCACACAGCTGCTCTTGTCAGGGGAGGACAATTATACTTGAGGATGGAAATCACCTGGTTTTCACTACAATGTATAACAAATTGGGAGGAAGCATGTACATAAATGGAATTAAAACAAACAAATGCGGGACTAGGGAGAAGAGGCGTGCGAGGAGATTGTAAATTTGTGGTTGACCAATCAACTAACAAACAGGGACTTTTTGCGTTCGTGATAGGGCATTAGAAGCTTGCATATAATTATTAGGTGATTGTATAAAAGCTGTATGTAACCACAGAACTACGAAGCCCTTGGCCTGAGTTTCTGAGCTCAGGCCCAAGTCTTTAGGCTCAGGCTGGGTTTCCCTGGTGCGCATCAGATAAAGATCTTTATACCTCCACTTTGATTTTTCTGCCTGATTTCTTTGTGGGGCAAAAGTTATTGCCCCGGGGCAAATGTAATTGTCCCTAACACTGATAAGAACTGTTCTTGAAAAAGAGAAGTTTCTGTCAAGAGCTCTCTCAGCCCCACCTACCTCACAGCGTGTCTGTTGTGGGGAGGGGAAGGGAAAGGAGTTTGTAAGCCGCTCTGAGACACCTTTGGGTAGTGAAGGGTGGGGTATAAATCCAATCTCTTCTTCTTTTTTAACTGGGGAGGGAAACTACTTTCAACTGAGCCTATATTGTGTAACTTGGCCCTCAACACAGCAACTAGTTTGGCCTGCATAAGACTGACCATTAAGATTCTAGGGTTGCCAACTCTGGCTTGGGAAATTCCTGGAGATTTGGGGTGGGATTCCTGGAGTGGGTGGGATTTGGGGAGGGACCTCTATGGGACATAATATGGGGTTGCCCACCCCAGGTGGGGACTGGAGATCTCCCAGAATTAT